TTGTTTGTCTCGAATAATAATAGAGACAACCGTTTGGTCTCAAGAACGACAACAACTCCAATGTGTGGCACTTCAGAGATGTGGACGCATTGGCCCAAAGACTCGACGCTTTGCCCTTTATTTTGGATGCCGACTACAAGAGCACAACACCCGGCGGTCCCATCGGTGGCCAGACCCGAGTGTCGCTCAGGAATGAACACATGTCTTACATCATCACTTGGTATTCAATACTTGATTTGTTTTCTTTAAATTGTTGTCTAAATTGTATAATGATTTGAATGCCAGGTATGGTCTCTCAATCCTAACATTTTACTTGTGGTATTTGAAAATATACAAAAGGAGGCCAACGTTTTGATACAATTGCCATCGCTGTGGACTATTGAGTCTATTTGTTGGATTAAATGTATTGTTCATTGAATTATAAAATTTTATAACATTATAGACATATTTATATTAAATGTTATGATTATAGGCAATCTTGATATTGAATTTAAATGATGATTGAATGGCAAGAATAAAGACTCGATTAGAGAGTAAAAGTAGTGAAAAATAAATATTTCCTAACAAAACACTCGTGAAAAAAGTGTGAAAAAATGTGCGATAAAAGAGTTGATAAAAGTTTGGTTGAGAGCGAAACTGCCGTATAATTGATGAGAAATGCATGCATTGGGTTTGAGATCGCATTTGATGTCACAGACTTTGTGAGACATGGGCTGCTCATGGAGGCAGTAGCGAGGGTTGACGAGGGGTTGTGCGGGCATTGCATTCGGTTGTCTCATAGTGTGTCTCATAGCGAGTGCATTGAATGCATTGAAATGGAGTGAACATTGGAGTCAAGGCCAGCACAGGACAACTCATACTCTCATAGAGCGAGTGTTGTATTGAAGGCAATGTAAGGCCAATAGCGTTATGAACACAAACACTACGAACACTGCTCTACGACTACATTGTGTTTGGAAACACTCAACACATACTCAACATTACATACCATTGACTGTAGTATTGGTTGTGAGACAACACTAATACACCAATTAGTGACCCATTAATCCATCCGATTATCACCGAATGGATGTCCACGAGACCAGTGGTAAGTCATTCACTCATTGCGATCACTGCGAGCCATCGCATCATCACTCGTATCTCATGTATGATGTGATGGTTGTGTCCATGAATACAAAGCAAAGCCAATGTCTGTCCTCGACTTCACACCAGACGGTCATTGACGCGAAGTCCATACCATTCAATGGATATCACTGTCGCTCGCGATTGTCTCAACTCATCCCTCACTGTGTTTACCATTGCAGCACACATTTGAGACAATGTTTACCAATGATATCCATTTACTTAACCGTAATATGAATATGAATATCATGTGAAACCATGTATTTGTTTATTTGATGAATGAATCCATTGATTATCATTTGTTTGTTTTCACATTTGCTTTGCTTTTCATTCAAATGTTTCAAACATCACCCAAATGTGTGGCAAAAGACATGTTGCAGGCTATCAATGATGGCTCCAATTAATTGGTGCCATAATTGTGTCAAACTATGTGTGCCATAAACACAGTGACGTTGGATGTGCTCAACGGCTTAAGAACTCATTTATGTCTTAAGTCATCGTATGTTTTGTATATTTATTGCCATTTATAGCATAATCCACGAGATATGAGATTTTGTGCCCAAAGAGTGATTGTTTTTGTCATTGTCTTGACTGTCAAACTGACTTCAAATCAGATAATGACAAACACTGGGATGTATTGTTAAGAGTGTATTATAATCTTCATCTAAAGTGGTTTAGAGTTGATTCGTGAGACAATTGGTCTCATTTGTTGCAAGTATTACCAAAACAAATGCATTGTCTAACTATTGATTGATTTAAATGCATTAAGTGGTCACGAGTTTGGTCTAAGAGGTTGTGTTTGCGATTTAAGATGTTTTGCATTTTCTAAGGCTTTTACGAAGAGATCTTTGATTGTTATCTAAAGTATGCAAAGCTGGTGACCAACACATATCGGCCCTTATATATCGGACATGACTTGAAAGTTTGGTTTATTTGAATTTGTCGGCTGGAACTGATTGCTTAAGAAGTGATTGTTGCCAACAAATCAATATAAAAATAAGATATTATAGTATTTATGTTTTAAAATGCTTATTAGACCATAAATACGCTTAAATATAGATTAACTTATTTTTGGTTTTGTTTTAAACATTAATTTTATTTCTTTATAATAAATTAGTTGCACTCTTATTATAGTAAATGTATTTTATTTTTTGATGAAAAACAAGATTTATATTAAAATCTATTTTTTGGTCATTTATTTTAAATGAATGTAATTAAAGAGCTATTAATTAATTTCGATACGAAGTGAATATAAATCAAAAAGAGTTATTATAAATGAGTTGTGCATTGAATGCGATTAATGTTGTGAATCAGTGATGAGTTGTGGCAATAGATGTCTCTTTGGTATGAGTTCTTGAATAGAAGTTTTGTTGAAGTGATCAAAACTTATGCAATGATAATGTGGTGGAAAGGATGCGCTGAAGTGAATGGGAATCCAGTTTCGAGTCATTAAAAGACAATTTCTGTTTAAATGATTGCTTTCTTAGCATACAATTAGACATTCTTTTTCCCATTCATATCATTGCTTTTGACATAAATTACTGTTTATTCGCTTATAGTTAACGAAATA